GTCTTCTTTCATTGGGGGTGTTATTTAGGACCTTGACATAATACCCCAATTAAGGTCTGTGGAGATTTTCAGTCCTCCAAGGTTGTCCCAAAGATGCTTTTTTTCCCAAGAGCCAACTAGAGTTTCTGGTTTTTCTTCGAAGACACTTCGCTTCTCATCCAAGACGCTTCTTCAGCTCTGTCTGGATGACCGTTGGGACAACCATGACCTGGATGAGTGAGAATCTCCACAGACATCTAGCTTAGAAACTTTAATTATCAGGATAAGCAGACAGAAATAAAACACGGTGAAACGGTACTATTAAAGCATGCATCATATATGCTACAGCTGCAGTCAGAGGTTAAGCCTGCTATAATCAAAGAGAGACGGTTGGTTCCCATAATTTACTTTCAGATGATCCTACCTTCTTTAAATAATGCAGCCCTTGAATCATTCGTGACTATCCGAATGCGTGTCGCTCCATTCGTTAATTTAACAGTGACATAAAATAGGCCAACAACAGGCCAGAATGATTTAGTAACTTCCTTGAACCATTTCTATCAGCGTTTAATGGGTTGGTAACAAAGTGGGAAAGTTTAATGTATTCCAGAAAAGGCAGACGACACTGTCTTTTGTTGCTGTTGCCGACAGTAAATACCCTCTTTATTAAAACCATATATTATTGTAGTATTATGGAAATAAAAGAATCAAGAGACATATCGCAATTTCATTGGCTACCCGTTCTTAAAAGATCACTCCCCGACAAAGCACTAGAAGTTCAAGGAAATTAAATTCAATCGATTACTTTTCTTTTCGGCAGTTAGAAAGTTTAAATTAATTGATTAAAAAAAATAACAACAGTAGGAAAAAAAACATGTATACTTAATACCTCTTTGGATAGGAAGAAGCAGAGATGCCTGACTGAAAGAATATATATATATATTTGTAATTGTGCTGATAAATAAATAAAAGGAGACTAGTATAGATCTATTTCAAGCTATTTAGCTCTCATCAGCTAGCCATACCCTTACTGGGATTCGAACCNACAATCGCTCGCGCGGCTGCATTCTGGACGAGTTGAAGTCTCCGAATACTCTTCAAGGGCTGCCCCATGTAGATATCTTTTTGAAGATATCTCCCACCTGACAGTTGGGTGAATTATTATTGGACTATGGAATGGGGTGCCAAGGGGAGGAGATTGAATTATACATGATACCCATTGCTTTCGCGCCAATTATTTCAGACTCAGCTTTGCTTTGCTACTTATCGTTTGTACTTAGTAAAAGTACACTTAATTCTAAGTATGGAGTTGAGTGGTTTCTTTCCTGATTATTAAATGAAGCAGCACCTGAAAGGTTGTTAAATTACGTTAAGCCCACCTCTGATCCCATCCTTTGTTATCCTAATCTCCATTGCAGTGATGGGTTGCCCATTTTTTTTTTACTACCGGCTCTGGGTGCGCTCGAACGCATTCACAAAAACACCTGGCCAGGTGGGTGGAGCCTCTTGTTGTTGCTACTGCTGGTTCCCCTGATCCGGACCGAACCCGGAGCAGCTCACCTCTGCTCTATTGAGATTAGGCCCTGGCCCTTTTGTGCAGGCTCATTGCAAGCATCTCTGCGGCCTGTGAAAGTTTCTCTCTCGGTGGTGGCACCTGCTTCTTTCTCCCTGGAGTTACTATGGCGACCTCTCCGATGGCAGCTCCTGGAATGAATCCACTGGGGAGCCCGAGATCACGAACAGCACAACAGCTTCAGTAACTTCTTTGCAAGCCGCCGCTGGTTGTGTTTTTATTCCTTGGGCTTCTGCGTGCAGCTTTCTCGTTTAAAAACTTTCCACACCGAAAGGAAGAAGAGCGACAGTCTTCTCTAGACTCAGCTGATGGATTTCCCAAGGTTTCTTCCTAGATCTGCGAGTAGGAAATGGTGACGCCAGTGGCTGGGATGTATTCTGCCTCTCCCCACTTGGATAGGTAGATTGGAAATTTCAGACTAAGCCTTCCTGCTCTGGCAGAGATGGAGCCAGAGAATCTGCGTGGACTGCCTGTAAGTATAACATCGAAAGGACACCGTGAGGACTTGTAAAAATACTGTGAAAGATTTGGCTGGCGCAGAATAAAATGCAAAGCAATTTCTAATGGTGTTAGCCACAGTTCTGCCGTTAATAGACTATTGAAATGATAAGAGTCTCATAGAATAATAAGAGTAGGAAGGGACCTTCGAGGTCTTCTAGTCCAACCCCCTGCGTCAGAAGGAAAATCTATACATTTTAGACAAATGGCTGTCCAGTCTCTTCTTGAAAGCCTCCAGTGATGGGGTACCCACAATTTCTGAAGGAAAATCGACAAATCAACCCAAATGTCCTTTCTTTTCCCCAATCACGAGGAAGGAGAATACATTCTGTGTGGCATAAAACTTTCAATTCCTAGCTGGCCACAATTCTGTGCAAATCACTGCAGTTAGTTCCAGAGATAGATAGATAGATAGATTAGATAGATAGATAGATAGATAGATAGATAGATAGATAGATAGATAGATAGATAGATAGATAGATAGATTGATTGATTTATTCCTAGCGTGGCTTGCAATTTTTTTTAGTAAGCATAAGAATTGGAAATGTGTTTTCTTTCTGCTATCAGCACCAAATCCTGTGGTTTTTCCATAGTTGTGAAGTCTTTACAAATCTCTTTTCGTCAGTAGCTCCCCTATCGCTAAACGAAGGGTACCCCTTAACGAATGGGGTATTTTACAGTCAAATCTTGCAAGTGACTTTTAAATATCCTGTTTTCTGAATCAACCCCCCCCCCCCCCCCCCCGAAAAAGTGGGGAAAGGACAGAAGGCACCGTAAGAGGACAGTGCCACCCAGAGTCATCTAGTACAAGCCGGGCGGCAAA